CCCTCCTCCCCTGCAGGCTTCTGAACATGGAGCCAGGGGAACTGGTGAGCTGGATCCTGAGCCTCACCACGGTGTAAGCCTGGACCACATCACCGGGACTGGGGAGGCTACAGCCTCCTGAGCAAGCTGCGGATGGGGCCCCTGCGCTGCCTGCAGCAGTGGCTGCACCAGGCGGATATTCCACGGGCCAGTGGAGCACGATGCGCCCGCTGCCTTCATGGGATTAAAGCAGAAAACTATTAACACCGAGACGTCGCAGTAGAGCACGGAGCAACGAGCCCGTGGAGACACAGAGCAGATGCTATCGGGATGGGGAACACCGTGACCGGGAGGGAGGCTGCTGCTGTGGGGGCTCAGGACCCCTGAGCTGCCCCCCCTGATGCCATTGAACTGGAGCGGATCGGGAGCACAGCGCAGGATGCTTTGGGGTCACCAACCAGAGGTGCAACTGGGGTGACCCAACTGTGCCATGGCTGCGGCAGCCCAGCATCCACCCTGTGCTTTTCCCATGGGATCGCAGGGGCAGACATGGGGCCAGCGGTTGGTCATAGGGAGATGGGGCCGAGCACATCTCAGGCTGGAAGGGGAAGGAGGTGGGGAGTGTGGAAGGGAAAGGGTGTGCTGGAGCAGGGCTGTGTGGGGAGAGCTGCCCGTCCCTGCTCAGTAGAGGAGCTATGGGAAAGCTGAGCCCCACAGGCCACCCTCATCCCACCCCACACCTGAACATCTGGAAGGAGAGCATGGCCCCAGCCCTCCTGCACTGAGCCCTGAGGTCCTGGTTCATGGCACAGCCACATCCTGGAGTAAACCAGCCCTTAGTGCTGCATGCAGAGGTGAACCCGTATCCCCATCAGCCCTGAACCCCGGCTGCTGGCACAGGGGCTGTGAGTGCCCAGAGGGGAAGCCCTTGCAGTGACAACGTAAAACCAGTTCTGGAGGAGCCTGAGGCCCATAAAGCCCCAGTTCAGGCACCACCAACCACACGTGGCACCATCCCTGCTTCCCTTGGTGCTGGCCACGCTCCAGGCACTGCCCTGCAGTTGCGGCACCCTAAGATGAGGGGGTCCTGGGGATGCTCCATCCCATCTCTCAGCCCCGGATGCGCTGGGGGTGCTCAGACCCCACTCATCCCTATGCCCTATTCTGCCTTCTCGCCCCCGACTGCAGCTGGAACTAAGGATATTCAGGGGGTCATGGGGCTGGGAATCCCTCCGGAGATTGGGGCCGTTTCCTTCCCCTTCCTTCGCACACGCTGCCACGTTTAAAGAGATTTAAGACGTGTTTCATTTCTCTGGGTCAGCAAGCAGAGGAATTCTTGGGTTTCCAGCAGCGCCAGCTGCTTTAAACAGGGAAAGAGGTGGAAACCCCACTCCCATTTCCCAACATCCCACCTGCTGCGGCGGTCATTCCCCGCTCTGGCCAGGCAGGGAGCTGCGGTTCCCCCGCACGGTAACGGGGATGCTGCTGATGCGGAAAGACGATGGCGAGAATCAGCGATGCTTGGAAAGGGAATGACCCTGGCCCTGGGCACGGCACTGGCACCTCGAGCATCCCTCGACCAAGGGCTCACACTCCACAATGGCTGTTTCAGACCTAAATAACAACTGCATTAACGCACATGGGCCCTGCAGCCGGTCCCCACATCCCCTCTCCCCTTTGCAGGAGAGACCCCAGAGCCGCAGGGACCCCTTTGCCTGGGGCTGTGCCCTGGTTAAGCAGGGTAACCACTGACATCAGTGATGCAGCAGGAGCATCCGCGCTGGACCAGCTCTCCATCACCACGAGTCCTTACATCAAGCCTCGATGCCCCTGTGACGAGCTGCCTGGTCTAAATGATCCTTCTCAGGCCTTCACTCCATGACTCAATTAATGACTTACTAACGACGATCCCTCTCAGCCCGTTCGCTATTTTTAACTGCGTGTTTCCAACCCCTTGTGTTAAATAAAAATCATGAGTCAGGCCTCAAAACCCTCCTGAGCAGGGCTAAAAAATCACCTTTTTATTCCTTGCCAAATCCCTGCCGGGCTCTTCCCCAGCGCTTCCCTGCGCATCAGAGCAGGAACCGGCAGCGCCGCGGAGCTCGGTGCAGCACCCACCTCGCTCCTGGCACACAGATGGCCGTTATTAAGAAGCAAAATTAAGTCTTTCACCCTCTTGTGGCAAACTTCAGAGCCTCGGATCAGCCGTACGAGCCTGGATGGATGAAGAGCGGGTTGTTCCTATCATCGTGTTAAAATACACATCAACCACTAGGAATGGGCTGCACAGGAGAGTTCGGTACTTGAGGGAGAAAGGAGCGGGCTGCGGGTTGCCATCCCCTCCCACTGGGTCGGGATAGGGGTAGCAAAGGACGCGGTGATGCCCGGTATGAGCAGCATGTCCCAACGCATCCCTTGGCAGCAGCGGTGCCGGGGGAGATGCCGGGACCGTGCCAGCGCCGAGCGCCCACCGGGCTGCAGCACCTCCAATAATTAAGTACTATCAACAACTGCATATTAATTAATTTAATATCCATTATTATTAATTAACGCAGTAATTAAATCCTTCCCGTAATTAACACACCACCCAGCAGAGCGGTCTGGCTTCACAGCCTCGGCGCGCCGCGGGAGAGGCTGCGATGGGGGACTAGGGACAGAGTCAAGCGCGGCATCCCCTGGATGCCAACCCCCCCAAACCCCCTTTTTGGGGACACATCAAAGTCATTCCTCCAAAACAAGGGCCTCGCACGACATTTATTTGTATTTTATTATAAAAAAATACAGAATCCAAACTGGGGGGGGGCCCCCCCCAATGGGGATATCCGGATAGCACCAGCACGACGTCGAGGACGAAAGCGGCGTGTCTAAGGACAAAGCTAGGCAGAACGGAGACCAACACGCAGAACCAGCGCCAGCGATGGGCTGCTCCCCAAGGGCAGCCCCGGCCCATAGCGAAAGCCACCCCCCCCCCCCCCCCCAAAGCCCGCAGCACCCGCTCGGCCGCTCTCCCGCAGTCGCTGTACACAATATAGATATTTATATATATAATCTATATATATATAAAACACAGACCAAAGGCCAGGGTTTTGCTGCTCCCCATTGCGAGCTGGGGGGGGTGCTGCTGGCCCCTCGATAGAGCCCTCCCTTCACCCCCTGGATATACACGATGCTTTTGCTCGCCTTCAAGAACCACAACTTGGTCTGGACATACACACACACACGGGGACCGGGGACGGGAGGCAGGGAACAGCAGGGAATGGGGGAATGCCAGGGTTTATTGTTGGGTTTGGGGGTTATTTTTAATGTTTTTTCTCTTTTTTTTTGTTTTTTTTTTTGTAATTTTTTTTGTATGTTTTGGATGGTCGAGATGAGCTTATTGCGAGATTCCAGCTTCCTAGTCTAAAAAATAAAAATAAAATAAGATAAACCCTTCCATAAAATTCATTCTCAACAATACATAAAAAAAACCGCTCACAGTACAGCGCTGTATGTACAGGGACCGAGCCCCCCGCGCCGGAAGGGTCTGGGGTGCGTTCACAAAGGTGCCCTTAGCAAGGGGCTTTGGCCAGGTCTGAGCCCATCACCACCGTCAACCCCTCAGGGCATGGGGGGGGCTCTCATGGGACCCCCCCCTCCGGGTGGGACAGCTCCGGATTTAAGGCAAGGAAGGGTCAGGCCCAAGGGGGACCCCTCCTTGGGGATCTCCCACCCCTGGGGTCAACCTCGGATTGGGGTTTCAGTGGGTTCTTAATGCAAAGAAGAAGGAAAAGCTTCCCAAGCGCAGCCCCAGAGCGCCGGGGACACGGATGAAGGGGCGACCATGGGGAGTGCTGCGATGGTCCTGCACATGGCCAATGCATCCCCCCCCCACCGCTGCCATGGGCATTCTCACACCCCCAAGGTGTTGTTGGGATGCGGTGCACAGCAAGAGAATGCAGAGGAGGAAAACCTGCTCCAGGAGATCGGCCCTGCCTGGATGGAGAATGCAGCCCCGGCTCCAGCCAAACGCCCTTGGAGTGATCCCAGCATCCGGGCGAGCCCAGCCCGCCGGCTCCCAGCGCCCGGCGGTGCTCCTGGTGCCAGTGGCCATCCCTGGTGCTCACGGTGCCAGTCATCCCTGGTGTTCCTGGTACCAGCCATCCATGGTGCTGCGGTGCTGGCCATTCTGGTGCTTCCGGTACCAGTCATCCCTGGTGCTCCCAGTACCAGTCATCCCTGGTGTTCCTGGTACCAGTCATCCCTGGTGCTTCCGGTACCAGTCATCCCTGGTTGCTCCCAGTACCAGTCATCCATGATGCTCCCAGTGCCGGCCATCCCTGGTGCTCCCAGTACCAGTCATCCCTGGTGCTCTCCTCCGGTGTGTCCGGTTTGCTGCTCATGGAGTTGCTCCGGGGTCCCATGGGGACAGCAGTGACACTCATGGCACGAGTGATGGAGACAGGCTCACCCCACCAGGCCCTTGGTGGGGGCTCGTGTCCGCCCAGGCCCCTCATCACCGTGTCCCCACAGTAGGTGGGTGCCTGGAGAAGCGCCTTGGGGCCGGCACCACCACATCCCGGTGCCAGAGCGGTGGCTGGGCTGGGAAGGAGTCTGTGACAACGGAGCCGTCGGCACCATCACCGTGCTGCTTGGTGTCCGGTGTGAAAGCAGGGCTCAGTGCGGGGCTGAGCCCGGCCCCGTGCGGGTCAGTCTGACACGGGGGAGCCCGGGCGGGAACAACCCAGCCAACAAAAATAAACCCCTTTTTTTTCCTTACAAAACCAAAAAACCCCCCGAACCAAACAACGAGGCCTCTGTATTTGGTCTAGAAATGCAAAAAGCGACATCCAAGAGGCAGAGCCGGCGCCGAGCGAGCCGCAAGCGCGGGGATGGGAGCTGTCGGCGTGCGCCGCCGGGATCCGAGCCCTTTGCTCCCGGTGCCATCCCCTGGCGCCGTGGCCGTGCGGTGATGCGGTGGCAGGATCAGCAGCACCAACCCTCCCCGGGCACCGTCCTGGGGTACCGGAGGTGACGTTGGGGTGGCCGGAGGTGATGCTCCACGGAGCCGCTCGCCGGCGCGTCGGTGTCAGCGCTACGAGGCCAGGAGCGTCCAGACGACCGGCACCACCACGAGCACGGCGCGCGGCACCCTGAGGCTGCAGCAGGAGTTGTTGCTGGTGAAAATGGGCTCCGGGGACTCGTACAGGGAATCGTCTGCAGGAGGGGAAAGGAGGGAGATGTGAGCCGGAGGACCAGAGCCCACCCTCAGCATCCCAGCGGATGCGGTCCGGGTGCTGCTGATGCAGCGGCTTAGCCCAGAGCAAGCAGCTGGGTGCTGATGCTCCACTAAATCCCAGCTTCCTCAAAGGCATCACTGGAAACTGAGACTGTTTCAAGGACCCAGTCAAGGGTCCTTTGTGCCAAGGCCATTCCCTCTCCATGAGGGATTAAACCCCCAACACTACGAACACACTAAAGAACACTACAAGGGGAGCTTTCCCCACCTCCCTAGTCCTAAACAAAACAGAATGATTTTTTACAGATGGTTTCATTATACTGGGTTTTATTTTAAAGCCATGCAAATACACACAAAAAAAAGAAAGACATCCTTTTAAACGGTGACATTTCGCAGGCACTCGTCCCCAGGGAGAGCTGCTGCCATTTGCTAATTACACGTTAACAGGAGAAGAAAATTATTAATTTGTTTTTTTAAATGGCTGAGTTATTTGATTCTGAAAAGTAGCCACTGTGCAGGGATTATTATTCATTCCCCCCCATATGGAGCTCGGCAGCAAACGGCCATCACCAGGCACAGCGCCTGCCATGGCATGGATGTGGGCACTGTCCGCATCCCCGTTGGGTGGTACCCAGGTGGGACCTGCAGCATCCCGTCCCCCCCACCATGGTCCCCACTCACCCAGGACCACCACCCCCTCGCCCCATGGGGTACCCAGTGCCCCCCCAGTCACTCACTTGTTGGCCGAACATAAACCTTCAGCTTCAGGCAGGACCTGTCCACTGTGTTTGGGGGGGACGCGGCTGCAGGGAAGCAAAGGGGAGAAGGAGCAGGTTAGGGGGGGACCCATAAAGGGTTCCCAGTGAAGCTGGGCAGGGGGCAATGCCTCGTGGGGCTCTGTCCCTGTAGTGAAGGGCTGTGAGCGCGGGCAGGGCTGTGCTGCTTCCCTCCACAGGTAAAACGAGGATAAAGGCACAGAATAAGAATAATGCTCACTGGGAGAGAGAAAGGGAGTAATTGCAATAATTATCTTGGTGAAAGTCCCCTCTCAATAGGAGAAAAATGTGATTTATATATATGTTTTTAAAAGAATTTCATATTGTCTCAGAGTGGGTTTTTTTCTTTCGCATTAAAGAAGGGCAGAGAGCATTATTCACAATGAAGTTTCATTTCAGCTTCAGGAAGGAATGGGAATTGGGATGCTGCTTGCAGGGGAGGCAGCAGCGACGGGCACACGCAGTCCCTTCGGGTGGCCACCACCATCCATCCATCCCCTTGGCTCTGAGGGACAGACACAGCAGGTTCCTGTACTGATGGTGACATGGGGGGCACCCAAAGGACCCATTTGGGTTGTTTTAACCACATAAACCCATGGGGCAGCTGCAGAGGGGCTGCACCCCCCCGTCTCCACATGGCCCCTCACAATGGTACCCCTGGGTCCCTCAATGGGCGCATCCAGCCCCTGCGCCCGTCTCCACATGGCCCCTCGCAATGGTACCCATGGTTCCCTCAATGGGTGCATCCAGCCCCTGCGCCCAGCTAAGCATCACACCCATGGGAGCGGTGGCATCCAACGGGGGATGCTGCAGAGCCTCCATGGTTGGGAGCAGTCCCTTTTCCTTTCCTCCGTGGTGCTACCACCCCACATGGGAAGGAGAAGGCCATGCCATGCTGTGCCGAGCCGCACCGCGGGCATCCCGCAGCACCTCCATCCACCCGCTCTTGTCCCCAGGGCCAGCCCATGCCCTTGACCCGGCACCGGGAGAGCGAGCGCGTCCCCGTGCCCGCGAGGTTAATGGCATTCCAATTTGCGAGCTCGAGGAGGAGGTAATTTCTTTTCTTTCATGTCTGCTAAATACGGTTCCTCAAAGAGGCATAATTTCTAATGTTCCGCATGACATGAATTCTAACCGGTTTAGCAATGATCAGCTTCACCATTTACTCCTGTGTAATCTCCCCCTAACGACATTAAAAATAAAATAAAAATAAAATAAAATAAAACTTGGGGGGGGGGGGGGGTTGTAGCTGCTGTTATTTCACCAGTGACATTTTACAGAGGGGAAGGGAGCGGGGGGCAAAAATGGTAATTTAATATAGATAAAAGGAACAAATTAAGTGGGCTGAAAACAGATGCTTTAGGAAAAAGGGGGAGAAATAATAAGGCAGATAAGCACACGGCTGGCTCCAGCACGGGAAGAGGCGCCCCTGTCTGCCCGTGACACCGCTGAGTGCTGGGGGTCAGGGATTCTCCTTTATGGTTTTTCCACCCTTTATTGATTGCCAGTGATGGATCCGAGCCCCAGAGGCTGGTTTTGCCATGGATCTCGTGCTCTGCCCCCCCCCATGCCCAGTGCTCCAGTGGCAGAAATTCAATGTGGGGACTGATGGGCCTGGTCCTGCCACCACCGCCTGGTGCCTGTGGGAAGGTTTCCCCCCCTTGTTGGCCAGTTTGGGCTTCATCTGTTGGGTGAGAAAGGGGATCGCAGGCTGGGAGTGCACAGGGACACTGCGCCACCACTTCGGTGCAGCACCATGACCAGTGCCCGGTGTCGGTCCCATGGAGATGATGAGATCAGTGTCCCCATCATCCCGTGGTCCTTGGGAAGTCCTATTCACTCCTGTGGCTACCCCATGGCTGTGGCTTAGCCCTGGAGAAGGCTTTTGGCACCGTTTGGGATCTCCACCTTGACTCAGACATGCTGGTGCTGTCAGCACAAGGATGGGTTTGGGGGCATCCAATGCAAACCGAGCTGTGGATCAGCATCCAGGTCTGGTCTGCACTGCGGGGTGATGCAGGAGACATCCCTGGGGTGTTCTGACCGTCCCCCCCATCCCTACTCACAGATGTAGTAGTACTCGTGGCCGGGTCTGAACTCGAAGCCCAGTGAGAAGGGGGTGAAGAGCTGGAACTTCTCTGAGAACTTGAGGGGCCCGTTGGGGGAGTCGGGCCGGTTGCACTCCCAGCGCTTGAAGCCCCTCTGACGGTCGCAGGATGCGTGCCCCTCGTAGTTGACCATGTAGAGGATGTAGCGCTCCATCCGCTCGGGCAGCGGCTCCTCGTAGTGCGGGCAGTAGATGTCCAGGTAGTCGTTGATGCTCACTTCCACTGTGTAATCCCCGTGCTGAAACCTGCAGGAGAAAGCGGTGTCAGGGGGACCACGTTTCACCAGATCCCACCATGACCTTGGGGATGCCAAAAACCTTGGTTCCACCACAACCCAGGGCCTGATCCGCTCTCCTCACCACTCCAGTGTCCCCATTAACCTACAAGATTAACTCAGAGCCCTGTGATAAACCAGCACCTTTAAAGTCACAAAAGGACCACTATTCACGGCGATGCTGCGGCAGTGTTGGCACCGCGCTGCAACCCCGGTGTAATTTGTGCTTCTGGCACTGATTACCCAAGACATCAAGGGATTAGCGGTGCTGGGGAGCTCTGGCACACACCATCAGCTCCCGGCTCCTTGGGGTGAGCCCTGTGACACCCCCATCCCTCCACTGCACCCTGAGCAGGGGGGGGCACCGCAGCCCCCTGGAGCTCCTGGCACTGCAGCCGATGGAGCTGGCGGCCAAATTGCCCGGCTCCCCTAGGAGCCAACCTGGCAGCTTGGCTTTAATCTCTGCTCATCGAGCTCGTTTTCTTTGCTAATTAATTTGAGGTCCCCCATGGCACCAGCAGGGATGGGGGCACCGGGGCCGGAGGAGCAGCGCTGCACGAAGGGATGCTCAGCGGCTGCAGGGGTCAGCGTGGCCTGCGTGGGGTAGCGATGGTGGCCACGGCGACAACCCCAAACCAGCATCCTGGGGGGCTCCCTGTATTCAGTTGAGTGTAGGGGGCACCGGGACCGGAGGAGCAGCACTGCATGAAGGGATGCTCAGCGGCTGCAGGGGTCAGCGTGGCCTGTGTGGGGTAGCGACGGTGGCCACGGCGACAACCCCAAACCAGCATCCTGGGGGGCTCCCTGTATTCAGTTGAGTGTAGGGCAGGAGGGAGGAGGACTGAGGCTGGTTCAAACTCATCACACTGAGCACAGTGAAGGGTGACCCATAAAGGGGGGACCGCAGCAAGGGTGGTGAGCGGCAGCGTCCAGCCCCATCCAGCTCATTACCTGCTTCATAAGCACTCTGAGCACACAGGGAAACGCGCTAATTAAGGAGCAGGGTTTTCTCTCTCCTTCCCTCTCCTTCCCCCAGTCAGTTGTGCCAACCCTGCCCCTGGCAAGGTAACATTTTAAATGTAAAATTAATACAAAGGGCCAGGATTTACTGGGAAACAATTTTCAAACGCGCACAAAACAATACCAAAAAAAAGAAAAAACCCCGCAAACAAAACACCTTTTTCTGCTTTTTGTTAAAAAAAAAAATTACTTATTTTAATGATCACTCTAAAAGCCCAAGCAAAGGCGACTGGAACAGGAGGGCACGTGCTTAGCAGGGGAATAATAATAATTATTCTTTTTGGAAGGGAATAAAAACATCACCTGACCCCAAGGGCCTTCGCTGGACTGGCAAATGCTGCATTAGAGCTGATGAGCTGTGATCAATGGCACCAGGCATGAAGTCGGGTTTTAAGCTAAGAACAGGTTTGTTGGGGGATGGATGTGGGGAAGGTTTTGGGGGTAGGGATGTGGGGCAGGTTTTGATGGATGGATGTGGGGGAGGTCTGGAGGGATGGATGTGGGGGAAGTTTGGATGTGGGGCAGGTTTTGGGGGGATGGAGGTGGGGAAGGTTTGGAAGGATGGATGTGGGGCAGGTTTTGATGGATGGAGGTGGGGAACGTTTGGAGGGATGGATGTGGGGCAGGCTTTGATGGATGGAGGTGGGGCAGGTTGTGATATATGGATGAGGGGCAGGTTTTGGGGGATGGATGTGGGGAAGGTTTGGAGGGATGGATGTGGGGAAGGTTTTGATGGATGGAGGTGGGGTAGGTTTTGATACCTGGATGTGAGGCAGGTTTTGGGGGCATGGATGTGGGGAATGTTTGGAGGGATGGATGTGGGGCAGGTTTTGATGGATGGATGTGAGGCAGGTTTGGGGGGATGGATGTGGGGCAGGTTTTGATGGATGGAGTTGGGGCAGGTTTTGATACCTGGATGTGAGGCAGGTTTGGGGGGATGGATGTGGGGCAGGTTTTGATGGATGGACATGGGGCAAGTCTGGGGGGATGGATGTGGGGCCATGCTGGCAGTCCCAAGCACAACAGGCAAAGCCCAGCACAGGAGGACGCAACCAGAAGAGGGTTCACTGGAGGAGCCCCAGGGATGCCCTCAGAATGGGGCTGTGGGGATGGGGGTCTGGATACTGTGCTTGCTCCATCCCATCCCAGGCACCAGCCATATGGAACCACACGGACCTGTGCTCAGCACAGGATGAGCTGTCACCGCCTCGGCTTCGGCTATCGACGGCACCACAACCACACCGACAGCCCAGGTCCAGCACACAGCACCCTAAAACCTGTCCCTGAGCATCAGCGCCCATGAGAGCCCCGAGCCGGAGCCTTGGGCGCACTCAGAGCCGCGTTTGTTACCGGGGGAGCCCACTCTTCATCCATTATCCTTTAAGTCAGGCCATTTGCAAAAGGTCAACAGCGTTTTCCAGCCCTGGAAGGCGCTGGTGCCCTGTGTGATACCCACAGCTGGTGCCCTGTGTGATACCCACAGCAGGGCCCTGCTAACGGCAGCAGAGGGTCTGAGCCCCCTGAACCAGGCACATCCCTCATCAGATGCCCCTTACAGCAAGCAGCTTCCAACCGGAGCGGGGTCCTCCGTGTCCTGCTCGCTCTGGCAGCACTGGGTATGGAATGTGTGCTGCCCTCCCTGCACATCTCAGACACCCGTGTGGTTTCTGCCAGCCTTGGGGTGAGCTTTGTCCCTACCTCATCTGAGCCCTTGAGTCCCAAAGACACGGGGACACCAGCCCTTTGGTCCATTGGGAACTGCAGAAAGCAAGAGGAGAGACCTCCACTTTGGCACACCGATAAAGGCCAATTTGCAAGGTTTTCAAGCCAAATGAGAAGCTCAGCTTTGAGCAAATCCACGTTCCTGTTACTCTGCGTGGGCTCACCACAGCCCCACACATCCTGGGGCAAGGATGATGCTACCATCAGGAATGATGCCATGGGGTGGGGATGATGCCATCACTGGGGCTGATGCCATGGGATAAGGATGATGCCATCACCAGGAATGATGCTGGGGCTGATGCGATGGGATGGGGATGATGCCATCACTGGGGCTGATGCAATGGGATAGAGATGATGCCATCACCAGGAATGATGCTGGGGCTGATGCCATAGGGATGATGCCATCACCAGGAACGGTGCCACTTCTGGGGCTGATGCCAGAGCCCACCACGGCCACCAGAGCTCTGCCGATGGACATAGGGTTTGCCCACTGCCAAAGGGGTTAACATGGGAGCTTTGTTTTTCCCTGACAGAGACGGATGGAGCAGCCTCCCAGCCTCACCCGGCGGGATGTTACACTTGACAATTGACTACTCACAGCTTTCAGCTCTGTCAGCTACCATTAAGACCGGGATCCTGGCTAATTGGGTGCTTCATTAGGGGCATTCATTACTGTTAGCGCTGCCTGACAGCCAGGCCTGCTCTGCCAGCAGGGCAGGGGACACGGGCAGCCTCACACAGCCCCATTGCTGACCCCCATTGCAGGGTCTCCAGCAGTGGCACCCCCCTTGGGACACCCTGAATGGCACGGCCACGGCTCCCCCCTGATGCCAGCACCCCAGCATAGGGGGCTGCATCCTGTATCGCTCTCCCACCCTCTGCCACCCTGGTCCTGGCACCAGCAGCCACCACATTGTCGGCTCCATCTCGGGTCACGTTTAATGGACAACTTTTTCCCGGTGCCGTCAATGACAAGAGCAGGAACCCATTGGAGTGAAATTGCCTGGAATAAAACATGGGAGCTGGTGAAGCGGCTCCGCTGTCCGCCCTCCTGCCTGCACCATCACAGCACCCAACCCCTGCCCATGCGCACCGTGCCAGCTCCATGCCACGGCCTTCCAAAGCTTCCACCTCTTGGATATTCCCTATGGAGGGTAAAAAGCCCCCCTGAGACCCTGCCCTGCAAACTGGAGGCATCCTCAGCTTGAGCCCCCCCCATGGGGCAGAGGCAACCAGGAGAGCAAACCCTGCCTGGCCCAGCAAGCAGGGAGAGCCCAGCCTTGGTCCTGGCACCCCGGCTGGGCAGGCAGTGCCTCAGCATCCCCTATGGGGAGCAGGAGCATCCCTCAAAGCCAACCCAGCAAGGGAACAAAGCCCGTTTGTCTCTGGCCTCGCTGCATCCTGCAAGACCAACCAGTGTCCCAAGGGTTAAACAATTCAGATTTTTCTTTCCTGAACAGCTTGAAAAGAGATATGATTGCACCCGCTGAAATACTGGGGGGGGGGGGGGGGGGGGAGATATATTATGGAAGGAAAAGAGCTATTTAAGCCGAAGAACAGCGTTGGCACATAAACAAATGGGTATAAACCGGCCATGAATAAATTGAGGCTCAAATTAGGAGGTTTGTAACCCCAGCAGTGAGGGGATGGAAGGGGCTCGAAGAGAAGGAAAGAGGGGGCCTGGGTGCTGCCGGCACCGGGGTCCCGGGCACAGGGATCCCCCAGCTCCAAGGGCACCCGTCCTTGCGGGACCAGACGCTGAGATGCTTAAAACCTCCCTTACGCTTTCATCTCCTGAAATCTCCTTCATTCAAATAGTCACAGCGTGATCAGGAGTAATAAGCCTATTACAGAGCAAAATAAAACACAGCAGCCCCCCCATCCCCAAAACCAGCCCCCAACCTCGCCCGCCGCCCTCTCGCTGTCTTCTAAACACGACCTGATGGAAATGGGGATGCTGTGAGGGCAATGCCAGCCCCCTGCCAGCCGTCGTCGCGGTCCCCCCCCTTGGGATATAGGCACAAAGCAGCTTCTAGGTGCTGAGGGGGGGGGGGAAGCAGGGAATTGCCCCCGCAGGAGGAGGCGTCCGCCCGGCCCCTTTCAGCAGCGTTACGGCTCTTGTCTCCATTAATCCTGGTGCTCGGCTGGTTGCTGGCATGGCCATAGCCAGCAATGGACTTCATGCCGGGAACGTTTAAGCTGGTTTTCCCATCTGTTTCTCTTTCTCCT